AGTTCCAATACATAAAAAATAAATGTAAACAAAGAAAAGAAAGATAGAAAACAATGTAATGCATGACAAGGGAACTTAATTGGGAGGCTCGTCTTGGGAGGCCAAAGGTGATTCGAGTTCCACACACACATGCCAGTATCTGAAGTGATTACCGAAGGTCCTTCACCCAGTCTGGTCCTACACAGAGTCCCAGAGTCTCAACACCATGATTTGATGCCAAGGCTGTAATCCCGGAGAAAAGCTAGTGGGAGTGGGAAAGGCACATTGCATCCAGAGGAGGGAGGGGCACGTCCACCTGCCCAGGTCAAGCACTTGCCTCAAGTGGTCCCGATGTCCTCCTGAAGACCTCTTCTGCCAAAGGTCTGAAAACTGAAGGCAGGGCTACCACAGGAAGCTGTCAAAATGAGGGGGGTGGGACCTCCAGAGGTGGGCCATCCCAGGCATTAATAAGTACCATGGTCCAGTCCTGCCCAGTCGGCCGGCCAGTGCTCTGGAACCCAAGTGACTCCATCGGCATGGCTCCCACCAGCACATCAAGGAGTAAGATTCCATCCAATGCCCTGCTCCCTGCTTGCATTTCCCAAAGTCCCTGATAATTTTCCAGGGCTCGGGAAAGTAGAAGAGACTACCTCAATTTCTGGCATACATGCTGGAGGGATTGTGATCCAGGGAGGATTGGGGTAAAAGGATAGAGAGAGGTTTGCATATGCCTGCCGTCAGAATGAAAACTGAAATTGGTGGCCAGGATTCCCAAAAAGAGTCCCTCTTTTGCAAATGGGTAAGCTATATCTCAGGTGGCAGAGAACAGGAAAATATTCAGCACCTATTTCAAGTGTAATTTACAAAAAGAGAACTTTCACCTCATCGACCAGCACTTAGGATGTGTTGTCCGAGTTGACCTTGATGTTTTTTAGGAGCAGTGGGTTCCTCTTTGTTTCTCCTAAGGTGCTTTCAGTTCTTCACCCCCACTGCGAGTTTCCTCAGTTCATTGGCATGCCATCACATGGTTTGATAGCAGTTGGTATTTCCCTAGATCCTTGCCTATCACCCATTCCCATAGGCAGATGGTGGACTGCCTGTCCTATTGAGCAGACCATTAGTTGGATCCATGAATGGCAAAGGCACAGGAAGCCCCGGCCGGGGAAGGTGTCCACTGCACAGAAAGTGAAGAGCTGAGACCGCACCACCAGTTTGCATTCCTATGAAAGCCTTCCTAATACGGTTGTCATTTTCCCTGCAAAAGGCCCCCTCCCATGCAGATCCTGATGGAGGCGGCTTGTTTGGAGGCTGACGCAGCAAGGGGCTCTGCACGCATTGTTCCAGCAGAACCCGTACCCAGGCATCGCCACCAGAGAACGACTGGCCCGAGAGCTAGAAGTTCCAGAATCCAGGATCCACGTAGTTTTCAGCTTCACTTGCATTTTCCCTGGGGGACAAGTCGTGGACACAATCAGGCCCAAACCACTGCATGTCAGTCTACATGCTCAGCTGGGGAGCTAAGAAGCTTTTTCCCCTATATGTACATCTCTGTTGAGCTCATGACCTTTGAAGTCATTCCAAATCATTCACTAGTGGAACTCAGGTACTATTGGTGTGCCAGGCCTGGGAAATTCCAAGAGGTCAAAACATCTTCGCTGACTTTCCCTAGAGATCATTTGTCCAGAGTTATTGCATGGTCCACACAAAACAGTCTGAGAACGTAGGTCTGAGGAAAAAAAAATATATATATATATAGATAGATAGATAGATAGATAGATAGATAGATCATGCCCACGAGTGTTGCCTGATCATCCGTTCTTCTTTTACCATTTAGGTATGGTTCCAGAACTGGCGCACGAGACCGCTAAGGCAGAGCCGACTGCGGTCTGCCAAATCCGAAAGGGGAAGGGCCACCACATGGACAGGAACAGCCTCCATCTTGGACTCAAGGTGACTCCCCATCATACCAAATGGGACCCTTCTTGATCTTCTCCTTGACACAGGAACGGGTTTGCATGTGTTTGGCAAGAAGGCTTAGCAGAGGAACCCATACCCACTTGTTCCAGGTGCCTTTCTGTTCCCAGAGATGGACACTGTGCATGCACCGCCTGTTGGGCAGGTGAATTGTTTCTGGGCAAGAAAGGCTTTGAATCATCTTGTCCTGAAACTGTAGGAAGGACAGAGTCCTCTTCTGGGGTCACCTCAGATTTAGATCCAAGCACTGGATTGTGTGGGTGGGTCCATGCTGACCTCAGTGGACTCAGGGAAGGAGAGGCTATAGAGAAAATGGAGAAGCATGAGAGAACACACACACACACACACATGCGTGCAAAGGGACACCAATTTCTCTTTCTACACTGGATGTGCCAGTGGCTTCAAAGCCTTCCTTTCTAACTCTATTCTCTTTTTAGAACATTTCCCAAAGGAAGGAAGGTGAAAAAGGACATCCATTTCTCCATCCCAAACCAATATCCTCCTTCAAGCCTTTGAGAAGAACCACTTTCCAAGCATTGCTACCAGGGAATATCTGGCCAGACTCACAGGTCTTCAGGAATCCCGCATTCAGGTACATTTTCAGTGTGTGGCCCGTGAGTTGTTCCGTGGAAGGGATAGTGGCGCCTGAGACGTTGCTGGGGAATCATGGGCTCCTTTGAGTTATCCACAGGATCCAATGCCAGGGCAATGGGGGGAAATGTGTTGACCTTGCAAGTGAGAGACTGCCCAAGGAAGAATTTCCAAACCAAATTGTGTGTGTTTTTTTTTTTTGGGGGGGGGAGATGGCAGTGTACATGCATGTAGAAATGGTGAGCAGATAAAATAGGGGAAACGGAAACATTGGCACCTATCTAGAGATCACACAAACTCTCAGCTCTTGAGCAGCGTAGTAGCACTCTCCATGTGGCCCTCTGGATTTTGTGAGTGTGAATGGGGTGGCTGTTTTGTGTGTGGCAATGTATTTGTCACTGTCCTAGGCCTCAGGACCCCAGGGCAAGAATGGATTCTACCCACAAACCACCCCTGTCTGCATAACCTACTCAGCCGGGATCATTGTCCAAAGGATTATTGGCAGGTGGGTGAGAGGTCCCATGTGCCCTGGTTGAGAAGGCTCTGCAGAGAGTGGTTCCTGGTATAGGAGTTGTGAAACGCCCTTATGGTATATGGAGACAGACTCTCTGGAAGCCTCTCCTTTGGGACAAGAGCCAGTGACCCTGCTTCAAGCAGGCCTTCATGGGCCAGTAGTCTGACAAGTCTTGTCCCTGGACAGAGGGGAAGCTCAACGTGTTCGATCCTGAGAACTCTTCTTCCCATGTAGCAACTGGAGGAGAGGGAAAGCCAAATCTGAATGTGAGTGTTGTTGATGTGGATTCCTGGCTGCCCATGCCTTCCTCTAGACCCATTAGAGTTGTGCTTGTAGACTTACCTATCATGTGGATGCGAGGCCAGGAGGCATGGGGTGAAGGCCTGCAAGCCAGAGTGGGCGGTTTGCCATTGGGATTACACCCAATCAGACCCCGGGGCGGGGAAAGGGGTTGAGGGATCCCCTGAGGCATTCCGGAGGACTTGGAGTAGCCTTGGGAAGGAGGGGAAGGCAGTCAGCTGTCTTTGTCCCAGGACTCCTGGAATGGCTGGTCAGAAAGCTGCAATTGGCAATCAGAGAGAAAGCAAAGTAGGGACTGAACAGCAGGCAGAGCAGAGCTGAGCGCCTGCCATTCAAGTCTATCAAAGGGGGATGGACTCCAGGCCAGGGGTGCACAGTTTCCCTGGGTGTTCTTCTAATTTCCAAGGGCCAGGTGAATGTTATGGACAGAGTTCCCCTGAGATTCAGACCAAGAGTCCTGGCCTTCTTCGCGAGAGATCCCAGGTGGCGGTAGTGGGAAAGAGACCTGACATCTAACCCTTCTTCTCATGTCCACGATATCTCATCTCTCTCCCAGGTCTGGTTCCAGGACAGAAGAGCTCCGCACCCAGGGCAGAGCAGAAGTCCAAACCCAGTCCTCGTGTGACAGCCCCAAGGGAACAAGGGCCCCTGGCCGGTGTCCCTGCAAGCTCTCCTCCACTGGTTCTGTCCAATCCTCTGGGAAGCATGCAGGCCATTGCTGCAGGGACAACTCCCATTCCCTGCATGGGCTTTGCCCCTCCAGTTTTCTGTGGGGGCCCTGGGAGCCAGGCCCTGGGGGCCACGATGGTACCGCCCACCCAAGGTGGGCAGGGAGGAAACAAATTTCCTGCTGCTGAAGGCCTGAAGAGCCGTTCCTTGACGGGACCGACTCTAGGAGGGTGTCTCTCTGTTTGACACGCTCTTCTTTGCCCCCCATCCCAAGGGGAATACCACCAGCAACATGAGCACCCTGGCATGGTACCCCTGGCCTTCCAAGACTACCCTCAGGCCCTAGCTGACAATCCTTGCCAAGGCTTGAAGGAGGCAGGGCACCCCGGGAGAAACCGCGCTACAGAGTGTTGGGGCGAGGAGTCCCAGCTTGTCATAGGCACAGGACAGACTCAGGATGGGGCAGTTCTGCAGTCTGCACATGCTGAGACCCCTGGCTGGCAGCAGCAGGCACATCCTACTGCAGGGCTGTCTGCTGTGCTCAACCCACAGCACCAACCCTCTGCAGAAGCCTCAATATTTTAGGGGAACTTTTCTCAGGTGCAGAGATGGAAGAAGACCCACACCCTTTTCTCAGTGGGCATTTGCCACAAGAGGACGCTCTGGGACCCCTGGAAGCACCCCTCAGCGAGGAGGAGTTTCAGCCCTGCTGGCCATGCTGCATGACTCCACATGGCCTCATGCCTAAGAGCAAGGAAGCCTCGTCCTCCCCTCCCCACACTCATTCAGATCTTTCCTGAGATGCAGTCCTAGCGGGTCAGCAAGGAGGAGGAACAGGCAGCATTGTGCATGTTCCAGAGGAAGACCGACGCCCAAAGCAGCATCCATTGCTTGGAAAGAAAGAAGAAAGATGTCCTTTCTGCCTTGTGGGCAGGCCTCCATTGCCTTCCCGATGAGCACCAAGCTCCACAAAGCCTCTGAAGGCACCATGGGCACCGGGCAATGGGCACCCTCCCCGACATCTGATTGATCCAAAGCACTGTCAGGACACACAGGTGACCTCCTCCCTGCCATCACCCTTTCCTCTGTAGACTGGGAAACTCTGGCCCTGGCAGCCAAACCAAGCAAGGAGGAGAGGTCAAAGAAGGACACCTCCACATGCCTTTTCCTCCTGCCCAGTCAGAAAGTCCCATCTCCAGGAGCTGAACGTGTGGACCAAGACAGGACGCTACACAGCTTGACCGTGGGAGCCCAGAGTCACGAATCCATCCTTGCTGGGATAGGCTGGGAACCAGCGAAACAGGAAATGACTTCAGTCTCCAATCTCTCAGTGATCCTGTCCCAGCCAAATTCTGGAATGCCCTGGGGCCTTTGCCTCGCATCTTTGCCCCGGGGAAGCCTTTCCAAAGAACACAAAATGGCAGCAAGAAGGGCCACAGCCACTCTCAGCAGGCATTCCAGAAAGGGTATCACTTGACTCACTCCTCAACCTTAGCATTTGTTTTCTATTTTGTTGGTATGTATTGGCATGCCTCTCTACCCACAGTGTTCCTTCACTTCTCAGGAAGAAAGATGTTCCCAGTCAGCCTATTGGTGCCCTTCTGTCAGCAGGGTCACCTCTCTCCGTTGCAAGGGCTAACTTGGAGGAAATCCATACTGGAATCGCAAGCTTGAAGGGACAATCCATTGGTCCAATAAACCTATTTTTGCCTCCCCAATGTGATCTCTTGGTTGTGATTTGTTCCATTTCCCTCCTGTCCTCTCATGCCTGCCAATCTTCAGAGATGTGAGATGCTCCCTGGCCCTGGAACTGGCTGTGGAAACCGTTGGTATACCCTAGTCCAGTTCACAGCTTTGGGCACAGACAACCTCATGGGGTAGCACTCACACTTCCTGGCAGTCATCAAACTACACCTGGTTGATGGTGCCTGATGGGCAAGCATTCCTCCAAGGGATGTAGGTTGAACCAAAGTGGCAGACAGTCCATGCACATTGTATTTGTCCCCACTGTTCCCAGCAGTGGCAAAATTCATACCTAAGGTTCATCCTACTATGCTGGCAATGGATTTACCTCACTTCCCTGCTCTTTGCCTCCCCCACCTCTCCTTTTCTCTATTTCTTCAGATCTCTGTCTCTCTGTGTCTATCTCTACCACTTTATCTCGCTTTCTCTCACAAGTGGACACACACCGATGCCAACACTATCAGAGCATCATGCTTATGCAACTCAGTATGGGCACTGAACATCCACAAAGGATCAAGGGTCAAAACATTTGCAAGAAAATGTGGGCATTGGCACATTTTTTTCCTTGGGGTTTTATTCTGCCCCTACCTATTTGCCACACCTCCCGAGAGGAGAGATTGTGAATCTGGTCATTTCAGACCCACCCCCTCCATGTCCAACACGTCTGTGTTTCAAGGGTGAAAGAACCAAAGAATTCCTATCTTGGTCGCTTCTATCCAAATAGACCTCTATCTCTAACCACATTCACATATGCACAAATACATCTGTATCTCCAGGTCTCCATGCGTCCAGACCCATGGGTGGATCGTGTTTATCTCTCCATAGATATAGCTTGTGCTATAAGCCCTCCACATCTCTCTTGCCCTCGTGTATCATTCTTCCAGTTCACTCTATGGACACATCTACCCGTAGCTTCAGTAGACAGAGTGGAAGTGTCTGTCTCTCTCCCAGAACAGAGAGGGTTAGAATGTCTGAAAGGTGCCTGGCCAAGTTGGCCTTGGCACAGACTGGGTTTTCGTTCTGTCTAGAGAAGCCACGTGGAAGGACGGCTCACTTGCAGTGGTGAGAAGACTGTGGTCTGATCTGAGAGTGTCTGGGAGGTCTCTGGAGGGGAATGGCACTTCTGCACATAGGACATGGAGGGAAGAACAGAGCTGCAGCCACATTGGGGTCCAAGGCCAGCCAGCCCAGAGGAGTCTGAAGTCTGGACTTGAGGCTGGAGCCTGTCCTGTCAACAGGTGGTCTGTTCCATCCATATCGGTGAGCTTTCAGGGCCCTGGCATGTGTGCAACACGGAGCGACCACTCTGGGAAATCGCCTGCCAGAGAAGGTGTCCACGTGGAAGCTGGCAGGAGTAAACCAGCCAGCAGGCTTTTGCTCATGGCCTTGGAGGCCAAGGCCCCAGGGGCTCTGATCTGCAAGGACATCCTCACATAACTGTGCCTTCCCTGGGATCCCTCAAAGTGAGCCTCTAACCCTCCGATCACCCTGGCCTGGGAATGAGGGATCAAGAACTGGACACACATGTCTACAAAACATCCTCCTGGTGCTTGAAGGCGGCTCCCAGTCGTGGTGAGGGTCAACCTCAGGCACTGCCTGGCGACCCCCTGCACTGTAAGGACAGAGATGTCCATAAAAGCAACACAGAACCACGCCAAAGATCATTTGCCCTGAGTAGTTCCTATCAGGGCTTGGCCCCTCGACCACCTCGGGGGATTTACTCTTTCCTGAAAGGCACTGTGTTGAGAATGCTGCCCCCAGAAAAGGTGTAGGGCACCCTCTTTGGCAGCCCTCTGCCCACACCTGTCCTCATGCTACAAGCCACCCCTTGACAAGCCAAGCCAGAAACGGACATTGGAGAGACACCAACCACCTAACCAAGGCTGAAACCTGAGGGCTACCAAGAGACGCGTTCCTTCTCTTTCTGCAGATGCTGTTTCCATGACCGAAAGCCACTGGTTTCTCTGGCACCGAAACAGAAGTGCACACCAGCACACACTCAGACACACAGACACCCCCCCTTCCTACCATTAGCAATTGCTAATGGACTGCCTTCAAGTCCTGGGAGAATGAGTCCCTTCACCACTTTTTTCTACTGGATTCCACTTGTCTCCCTATAGTACACCTGATGGACTTTAAAAGACCTGTGGCCAAAAGGATACAGGAGGGGAATTTGGGTCAGTGTGTACCATTTTCTGTTGGACCACTGGTAGGTTTTTGGCTTTCTTGGTCGTTTGGCTGGCCGGTTTCCTAACTGCCTGGCACTGGGAATCCATTGAAATGCTTGACTCATCGCCCTTTCTACCAGATCTTCCTTTAAAATAATGAAGGGACTTTTATCATAGAAAGGGGTTGTTTATTTTGGGAACACATGCACAGCAGCACCAGGATCACCTACCCAACACACCAGAAAAACCCCAGCTTTGAATGAGATGCAACATGGCCCTTCAGGTTTCTATTTTGTTTTGAACTGATACGATTTTCTTCATGTGCTTCCCACATTACTGGAAGTGACTTCTCCTTCTCCCAGGTCGTTATGTAGCGCTCTCCTTAGAGAGCTCACGTCTCTCTTGACAGGCCCTGCCATGAGTAGTCAAAAGCAAAGAACACCAGTTGGAGCCAGTGGAAACCCAAAATGATGGACTCCAGCAGAGCAGAGACTATTTCTCACTGGGAAACATAGGGAGACCTGAATCCATATCAGACTGCAGATAGCATTGCTTCCCTTGCACCCGTATCTGGTAGCATCTCCACTTGTCCCAAACATTGCACGTTCGTGGGCTCCATGTGTTTCCTTCAAGGGTGTTTTTCCCTTGTGCCCACAAGCAACTAAGAGCGTCGACATACCTTCCCCATAAACATGGAGATGGCCAACTAGCAATTTCCCACTCAGGTGCCTCCTATCGAAGCTCTCTGATTTCAGTCCCCTGCCTGGCTCCACAAGTGTTGCTTCACAAGTAGCCTGGGAGCTACCAGGGTGTCAATGAAAATGCGCTCCACAGATGCTAAGGGATTTAAGACACCAAGCTAAGTGGCTAACCAGTCCCGATTGGCAGGGGGAAGTTTGAAAATACCAGGGCACTTACAAAATCAAAATTAGAAAAAGAAAAATAAAAATTAAATGAAAGGGAAAAATGAAAACACTCAAATGAAAAATGTTGAAAGTCCAATACATAAAAAATAAATGTAAACAAAGAAAGGAAAGATAGCAAACAATCTAATGCAAGACAAGGGAACTTAATTATGAGGGTCATCTTGGGTGGCCAACGGAGACTCGAGTTCCACACCCAATTGCCAAAATCTGAAGTGATTGACGAAGGGCCGTCATTGGGTCTGGTCCTTCACAGAGTCCCAGAGTCACAACACCACGATTTGATGTCAGGGCTGTAAACCTCGAGAAAAGCTAGTGGAAGTGGGAAAGACACATTGCATCCAGCGGAGAAGGGGCAGGGCATGTCCACCTGCCCATGGCAAGCACTTGGCTCAAGTGGGCCTGATGTCTTCGTGAAGACCTCTTCCGCCACAGGTCTGAACCACTGAAGGCAGGGCTACCACAGGAAGTTGTCAAAATGATTGGGGGTGGGCCATCAAGTGGTGGGCCATCTGGGCATTGATAAGTCCCATGCTCCCGGTCCTGCGCAGTGAACCAGCCAACACTGTGGAACCCAAGTGATTGTTCCCACCAGCACATCAAGGAGTAAGTTTCCATCAGATACTCTGCTATCTGCGTGCATTCCCCAAAGGCCTGATAATGTTCAAGGGTTCGGGAAAGTAGAAGGCCCACCCTGATTACTGGCACATATGGACGTCATCCGTGGAAGATTGGGGGAAGGGGATAGAAAGAGGCTTGCATATGGCTGCCGTCAGAATGAAAACTGAATTTGGTGGCCAGGATTCCCACCAGGCATCCCTCTTTGCCTATAGGCAAGTTAGAACTCAGGAGGCAGAGAACCGATCAAGATCCAGCACCTATTTCAGGTGTCATTTACAAAAAGAGAACTTTCACCTCATGGACCAGCACTTAGGATGTGTTGTCGGAGTTTATCTTCATGTTTCTTTGGAGCTGTCAGTTCCTCTTTGTTTCTCCTAAGGTGCTTTCAACCCTTCACCCCCAATGTGGGTCTCCTCAATTTGTTGGCATGCCATCACATGGTTTGATAGTGGTTGGTATTTCCCTAGAGCCTTGCCTATCACCCGTTCCCACAGGCAGATGGCGAACTGCCTGTGTCCTATTGAGCAGACCCTTAGTTGGATCCATGAGTGGCAAAGTCACAGGAACCCCGGACTGAGAAGACATCGAACCAGCAGAAAGTGAAGAGTTGAGACCACACCACCAGTTTGCATTCCTATTACAGCCTTCCTCATATGGTTGCCATTTTCCTTGCAACAGGCCCACCCCCATGCAGATCCTGATGGAGGCAACTTGTTTTGAAGCCGAGGCAGCCAGGGGCTCTGCAAACATTGTTCTAGCAGAACCTGTACCCTGGCATTGCCACCAGAGAACGACAGGAAGAAGAGCTATACATTACATAATGCAGGATCCAGGTAGGCTTCAGGTTCCACTGCATTCTTCCTGGGGTCAAGATTGGACACAATATGGCCCAAACCACTGCATGCCAATGCCCATGCTCAGCTGGGGAGCTCAGGAGCTTTGACCCCTGTACGTGCATCGTTGTTGAACCTGTGCCCTTTGACGTCATTCCAAATCATTCACTCCTGGACATGTGTAGCATTGGTGTGCAAGGCTTGGGAGGTTCCAACAAGTCAACACCTTTTGGCTTACCTTCCCTAGAGATCAATTCTCTAGAGTAATCGCATGGCCCACACAAAACACTCTTGAGACTTTAGCTATGAGAAAAATAATATATATATATATTTATATTTATATATAAATATATGCTATATATATCATGTCCACCAGTGTTGCCTGACCATCGGTTCTTCTTTTGCCACTTAAGTGTGGTTCCAGAACCAGTGCATGAGACAGCTAAGGCAGAGTTGTTTGTGGTTCACAAACCCCCAGAGGAAGGGCCATCACATGGACAGGAACAGCCTCCTGCTTGGACTCAAGGTGACTCCCTAGCATAACAAGTGGGTCTCTTCTTGAGCTTCTCGTTGATACAGGAACGGGTCATCTTGGGCTTGCCAAGTGTATAGCAAGAAGGCTTAGGATAGGAACCCATGCTATCTGGTTCCAGCTGCCTTTCTTTTCCCCCAGACTCAGAGAGCACCTCTCTGCCTATTCCTCTTCTCTCCCCTCAGCTTCAGACCCTGTGTATCTGCTTGCTAACCAGAGAGCTCCATCTGAGCTCACATTTTCAACAAGTAATTAATGGAAACTTACGGTGTGCCTATGGGGAACAACATGGGAGATTCTAAAAGTCATTCTTTTTGTTTGTTTGTTTGTTTGTTTTATAGTTTCAGAGGTAGAATTTAGTGATGAATCCGTTGCATATAACACCCAATGCTCATTCCTAGTGCCCTCTCTAATGCCCATCACCAAATTACCCTTTCTCCCCACCCGCTTCCACTGAAGCAACCCTCAGTTTGATCCTTATATTTAAGAGTTTCTTATGGTTTAGCTTCCTCTCTGTTTTCATCTTATTTTATTTTGTCTTCCCTTCCCCTATGTTCATCAGTTTTGTTTCTTAAGTTCCCAATATGAGTGAAATCATATGGTATTTGTCTTTCTCTGACTAAGTTCAATTAGCATAATACTCTCTAGTCCATCCACATCATTGCAAATGGCAAGGTATCATTTTTTCATGGTGGCTGAGTATCATTCCATTGTGTATACATAACAAATCTTCTTTACCGAGACATCAAAAAGATCTGTTTTTACACCCTGCTGCTTATAATAATTTGCAGTAGCTTCCTCAAGCAGACTCCCTCATCTCCACTGTATCTTCAGCTATCTGAAAGCAGATTCAAGTCTCCACATTTCCTCCCTTCCAAATGGTGCTCCCTTATCTCCTTGTTGAATTGCAGCATTTATATTCTTAGAACTCTGATTGATTTCTTGGGTGTTCAGAATGATTTGATAAGTATGTAGTTGTATTTGAGGGATGAGACAAACTTATCTCTTCCCCTCCGTACTTTCTGATTGGATGCTGGGCATGAAGACTGTGAACCCAGTGACAGTCTGAAATTTGTTGTCCCACTTCTATGAGAGCTGAATGTCCTTTTGGCAAGTAGGTGATGATTTGTGACACAGCTTCATCCTTTCCAGGTTTATGTTTATAGTGGGAAGATGTACCCAACATATATCTACCATTTTCAATACTTATATATAAGTTGTGATGGATGACTTGAGAATAGCATTTGCTCTAGTGCCATGCTGTCCAACTTACCCTTCAAGTGTGACCTTTCATGTGGTCTAATGGCCCATGTCTTCATTAATATCCGTGTCAGTGTTTCAAAGAATGGTGACTGTTTGA